GTTTGCAAATTGGAGTGAAATTACCTGACTCAGGTATCTTCACTTTTCATATCAGATGCTTTTCTGGCCTGTTTTTCAGAGCATGACATTGTTCAGTATTGCTTACAGCATGGCCCATTGCTGTGCTTGCTGCACAAATCGATCGTGGCTGAAGATGGAGTTACTTGGGTTCATCATGGCCTTTCCTGTGATGTTTGTGACTACAGTATTCGGGTGTTTCACAAAGGCGGTGTGCTAGTCTGTCGGGCAAGTGGCTGGCATTTCTCCTCTTTTTAAGATAGAAAAGAGTTAGCGAGGATCAGAAATAATTTTGGATTGAGAAACTTGCCTGTGTAGAGCGTTAATTTTCCAAGATGTACACTGATTTAGTACGTACAGAGGATAGCTCCCAGGGGCCTCAGTTGCTGCTGATGGTGTTTGCCCACGTGAAGAAATTGGACATGCAAAAAAACCATGCCAGACCTACAAAAAAACCCCAAACGGTTGACATGGCCTGTCCTGGCACTGCTGGTGGTGGGATGCTGTTCTCCAAGGCCGTGTTTGTTGCTGTGAGCTTCCCCTTTTTGTCCCCTGGTGTCATTTACTTCAAATCCTTCAAATGCTGTGCTGGATGAGCAGGGATCTTGCGTTACTGCTGCTCAGACCCAGAGGATGCGCTGTGTAAGGAAGGGAGCCTTTTGTAAGAGGAGGGCAGGAAGACAGCCCTATAATATATACATGAATGGCAGCTGAATTATTCCTGCATTAATTAGGGCATTTCTTGTGTATACACTTAACTTTGAAACCTTGGGTTTTCTGTGAAAAGGACCTGTTTTTATTCTAATGCCTGCTTTTTTCCAAACCAAACTTCAAAAATAGTTGCAGCACTGAACCACCCACGTGGGTGATAAATGCAGATCTCTGCCATTTTAGCAGTTAAAGTAACAAAATAATGGTAAATGATCATTTTCAAGCGTGTGATATTTGTTGATGGCAAAAGGGATGGCAGAATTGGGAATTCGGGGTTCAGTTCCAGCTCTGGTGAGGTGAATGCTATAATTGCTTTCCACCCATTCTCCAGTGTATTTTTTTACCCCTTCTGCCCTGGCCCCTGCAATTTGGCTCTTGCAAGCACCAAGTATGTATCATTTAGACTCTCACTGCACCCATTTTCAATTCCCACTGCGGCTTCCTAATCCCAGTCCTCTCCTCTTGGCTCAGCACTCCGCTCCCAGCCTGCCTCTCCCTGTCCTCCTGATTTCCAGAGGTTTTTCCTCCTCTGCAGTTCCCAATCTCCCAATCTGGCTCTCAGCAGCCAGAACCGGGCGCCTTTTCCATCCAGCTGCCAGGAGGGATGCTAAAACCCAGCGGTGACTCACGGTGCGGAGCGATCTGCAGCTGCTAGTTTGTGACTGGAGGTGGCCCGTAGAACCATAACGCAGATTGGGTTGGAAGGGACCTTTAAAGGTCTCTAGTCCAACCCCAGTGCAATGAGCAGGGACATCTTCCAGTAGATCAGGGTGCTCAGAGCGCCGTCCAACCTGGCCTTGAATGTTTCCAGGGATGAGGAATCTACCACCTCTCTGGGTGACCTGTGCCAGGGTTTCACCACCCTCACTGTAAAAAATCCTTCCTTCTATCCAGTCTGAAGCTACCCTCTTGTAGTTCGAAACCGTGGCAGAGCTCTGTGCGAAAGGGAGGTTTCACCCAGGTGGGATGACGCAGGCCAGCCCCTGTGTACAAAGGATGAATGTTCTCAGCAAGGCGGTAATCTGAGATTTTAGTAACTAATAAAAGTCTTAATTGTGAACAAGCTGGTAATTTTATCTGCTTCTCCTCAAGCTTATAGCTTGGCCAAATTCAGGCAGATTTTTTTTATTGTGACAACATATCCAAGACATAGCACTGTATGGGAGAAAGTATCTTCAAAGAATTTGGAAGAAAACTTCTTTTAAAAATTATTATTTAAAGAAAAAGTAGTAATCTACAAGAGATTTCTTGTCCTCATTTTTGGAACCATTTTGGCTGAGATTTTTGGTGGAGGGGTAAAAGAAACCAGTGCAAAGCTGACGATTCAAGTTTTGCCTTCGCTGGTTGAAATGTGTCAGAGTTTTAAATAGCCCATCACAGGCTCTCACAGTGGGAAGTATTGGCAGCTGTAAATATATGGTTACATACAGAAGGTTCATACAGCATCCAGAGGGAGGATGCCAGTACTTTCATTAACATAAATGACTTCAAACACTCTATTTTAATCCATATGTGTACCAAGATAGAGGCCAGGTGTGTATCTGAGCACTTTGCCATCCTGGTCAAGTGACCTTGTGCTTGGGCTGGTTTCTTCCAGAGTGGTGGTAGGAGGTAGGCAGTGCCAGTGGGTCACTGGTGTGTACCGGGACAGTGCTGAAACCTCTTCAGGAGTTCCCCTGTCCGAATGGGAAATATATTTCACCTTTTTCAAAGAAGAAGGAAGCTTAGAAATGGTGAGTTTCTGTGCTGTCACTCCAGTGGCTGCCAGATGGTTCCCACTGTGGGAATGCCCCAATCTGCGGGTGTGTATGGATAGTTTGTGACCACCTTTCTGTGTTGGGCTTGCTGCTTGTACTGCTTTTCTGCTATTGGAAGATGTGATGGAGTACTTTTAGTGTACCAAAAAAGAAAAAAAATTAAATGAAAAATTAAAACTTGCCACTTACATGAGGATGAGATCAAAACTAGGTGTCCTCAGCCTTTTGTTGTCTTGATGGCCGCTCACACCAAGAGACCAGTGGTGCCTTCGACTGCATCTTCCCACTTTGTTAATTTTCACTCTTGTGGAAGCTGAAGTAGCTTTGTTACATAGCTGCTGTTCTTCATACTTGATGCACTATACTGAATTATATTTGTGTCTAATGAATTACCTCAAATCCAAAACACGTTGAGGAGGAATATGAAGTGCCCTTTGATTATTACTTGATGTTGAGTTCTGTGCTGTTTTTCACAGAAACTTCTGAACTCACCCGGTGACTTAGACTATAATCAGTCTTCTGTAGAAAAGACATGAAGTTGTTTCAGAGGTTCTCCTGCTTTCAGAGCCATCCTTTTGTGAGTTAGTAAGAAAGCCATTGCATTAATTTCATGCAATGAGTTGTGTTTCTGCAGTGGACATCACTGGGCCAAACTGGTCAGAGAATCATTGTGGCAGGGTGCTTGCCTTGAGTTTGGGTTTGGTTGAGAGCAGGAGCACCTGCCATTCAGATGCTCATTGTCCGTGTAGTTCATCCCAAATCTCAAGGCTCCTGTTGCCAGCCAAGGTCTTGTGCTGGTGGTGATCCGTAAGTCTTGCTGTATGAATTGGCAGTAGGAAGCATTGGTGGGCACAGTGAGCATTTTCTTGTCTCGAGAGCTTTAAGGCGTTTCTTCCGTGGCAGTCTTTCGTGGAATGAAGAACGGTGACTTAATGTTAGGTTTGCTACTTAACAAGCCGGGCAACGGCTATGACTTGCGAATTCAGCGCTAATTGTGGAATTCAGTTTCTCCACCCGTTTCCCAGCCTCGAGGAGATGTAAGCTGTCAGGGGAATAAGAACATCTAGGGAGCATTTTTGTGTGTATTTTGTTTAAATTTTGGACACGTGAAAGAATGGTTGCAGATCAATCTGTGCATTTCAGTGAGTCATAAAATGCCTTTTAATATATGCTTTTTGCTAGCTTGTGCTTTGTACTTATCTTTTATAGTTATTAGCATCGTTTGCAATAAGCTTTCAAAATGTTAAGAATGCTTGTTACTGCTTTAGGTTTTTTGTTTCAGTTAGGGCGTTCTTTATACCTTCTTCTGGTTTCTCACCCCCCTCCCTGTGCAGTCACTGCAGATTATGTACATGTATCGGTAAAGTTTTTCCAGAGTGAGTAGCGACTAGCTGTTGGATCTGGCCAATGCTTGGTTAAGTTTATCTTCTGTAAATCAAATGCACACATCCTGTGTACAGTACATCCTTCTGGATGTTTTTCTTAACGTAAACCATTATGTTTTCTTCCTCATTTCTCCTGAGGAGAAATTAGTCCTTTCACTTACAGCAGCTTTCAGCCCTTGCAGGCCTTTCCCTCTAGTCGTTGCCGAGGCTCCGTTTTGCTGTGACTCCACCTCTGCCTCGCTAGCTCTCGCAGTTCTCCACTGCTGAGTTTTGCTTTGTCCGGTGTCCCGCCAGCGTGCTTTGGTTGTGCACAGCGCTCAGAGCGAGCGGCTCTGAGAGCAGTTGGCGGCACGGCGTGCACCACTTCCTGCCTGCAGCCCGCGCGGCTGTCACGCAGCGAGCCTGGTCACCGTCTGCAGCGGGCTTCTGCGTGGGACGTGCCAGCAGAGCCGGGCTGCCCTCCGCTTCTGAGAATGAGCTTGAGTTTCCAGTTCCTGGTTTGCGAGACGCCTGGCAGATAAGGTGGAGGCTGTCCCTGAGCTGCCCTGAAGAGCAAAAAGCGTGTGGATGCTCCACTGATGTATCTTCTTAGTTTCCTTTAATGGGGAGGGAAAGACCAGTTTGGGCCTGGCCTGGTTTCCAGTAAGTGTTGCATCATACGTCCGTTGGCCTGACAGGTGACAAAGGCAAGTTGAGACTGAAGAGTGGTTTCTTGCAGTCAGCTTACCTTGGTAGGTGTTGTCCTGGGGCCATCTGACAGAAGTCTGCCCTGTGAAGTTTTTGAAGTTCTGCATGCTGAATTCCTATCTGAAAATCTTGGCTGTAGGACTTTTGAGATATCTTTGCTAATTTATGTTCTAGCAGCGCTGCTCTGATTGACATGCGTGGTGGTTATGTTTATTAGTTTACTAGTCTTGTAAGTCTCGTGGTAAGAACATGGAATTACGGATGTTTTCACTGGCATCAGTGTTCGTGGTAGTTACCAGCAAAGATTTCCAGACGGGAAGCTGTACCACAAACAGTGTGAGAATAGGAAGATCTAGAGAAGTAAAAGATGGCAGTTCTTCCCTCTGTTTAAGTACGTTTTGCTTTTTGTGCTTATGATTTAACAGATGTCTTCTTGTTTATGCAGGGCTGTAATTGAAGTACAAGATGGCAAGGACCAGCCACAGCAACTATGTCCTTCAGCAGCTAAACAACCAAAGAGAGTGGGGCTTTCTGTGCGACTGCTGTATCGCTATTGATGATATTTATTTTCAAGCACATAAAGCAGTTCTTGCTGCCTGCAGCTCCTATTTTAGGATGTTTTTTATGAACCATCAACACACTACAGCCCAGCTGAATCTAAGCAACATGAAGATTAGCGCTGAATGCTTTGATCTCATTTTACAGTTCATGTACTTGGGAAAAATTATGACAGCCCCTGCCAATTTTGAGCAGTTTAAAGTGGCCATGAACTATTTACAGCTATATAATGTACCTGAATGTCTAGAAGATATACAGGATACAGACTCGTCTAGTTTAAAATGTTCATCTTCTGCTTCTAGCACCCAGAATAGTAAAATGATATTTGGCGTGAGAATGTATGAAGACACGCTTGCTAGAAATGGCAGCGAAGCAAACAGGTGGGGCATGGAGCCGCCAAGTTCAACAGTAAATACATCCCATAACAAAGAGCCTGATGAAGAAGCTTTGCAGCTAAGCAGCTTCCCCGAACAACTGTTTGATGTCTGCAAAAAAAGCACCACATCTAAATTCTCTCACACGAAAGAGCGCGTGTCCCACTCGCGCCGCTTTGGAAGGAGCTTCACCTGCGACAGCTGCGGGTTCAGTTTTAGCTGTGAAAAGCTACTGGATGAGCATGTGTTAACGTGCACTAACAGGCATTCTTACCAAAGTGCCAGGTACTACAGTGCTGAAAAAGTAGACTTTAACGAAAAGGACTCTACTTCTAAAATGATCTCCACACAGACAGAGAAGTGCAAGGGGGACTCGAGCCAAGCTGCGGACGATTCTTCGTCTCCCGTGTCAAACATCACAAGCAGGAAAAGCAGCACAGTTGCCTCTGAGACATCAGGTGAAGAAGGAAGTAGAGCCTCTGAGAGGAAGAGAATTATCATCAAGATGGAACCAGAGGACAATCCTGTAGATGAGCTGAAGGATTTTAATATAATTAAGGTGACAGATAAAGACTGCAATGAGTCTTCTGACAACGACGACCTAGATGATGAGCAGGAAGAGCCGCTTTACAGATACTACGTTGAGGAAGAGATCAGAGAGAAGAGAAATGCTCGGAAGACTTTAAAACCCCGTTTGTCCATGGATGAGGATGAAAGAAAGTGTTTGAAGAGTCCACGGCACCTTAACAGGAAGGCTCCTTCGGTGCAGGAAGATGTGGAGAACGCTCCCTGCGAGCTCTGTGGGCTAACAATCACCGAGGAAGATTTGTCCTCTCATTATTTATCCAAACACATAGAAAATATATGTGCCTGTGGCAAGTGTGGTCAAATACTGGTCAAAGGCAAGCAGTTACAGGACCATGCGCAGACCTGTGGAGAACCCCAGGATCTGACCATGAACGGGATCAGAAATGCTGAGGAGAAAATGGACTTGGAAGAAAACCCCGAGGAGCAGTCAGAAATAAGGGACATGATGTTTGCAGAGATGCTAGAGGACTTCAGGGACAGTCATTTCCAAATGAACAGCCTTCAAAAAAAACAGTTATACAAGCATTCTGCCTGTCCTTTTCGATGCCCTAATTGCGGTCAGCGTTTTGAAACTGAAAATCTAGTGGTTGAACATATGTCAAACTGCCTGGAGCAAGATCTGTTCAAGAACTCCATGATGGAAGAGAACGAGAGGGATCACAGACGTAAGCATTTCTGCAATCTTTGTGGGAAAGGATTTTATCAGCGTTGCCACTTGCGGGAACACTATACCGTTCATACCAAGGAAAAACAGTTTGTTTGTCAGACATGTGGGAAGCAGTTCTTAAGAGAGCGCCAGTTGCGGCTCCACAATGATATGCACAAAGGCATGGCCAGGTATGTCTGTTCCATTTGTGATCAAGGAAACTTCCGAAAACATGACCATGTACGGCATATGATATCTCACTTATCAGCTGGAGAGACTATATGCCAGGTCTGCTTTCAGATATTCCCAAATAATGAGCAACTGGAGCAGCACATGGATGTTCACCTGTATACATGTGGAGTATGTGGAGCAAAATTTAATTTGAGGAAAGATATGAGATCTCACTATAATGCCAAGCATTTGAAAAGAACATAAGCGTAAACATACTGCTAAAGCATTAAGTTGGCAGCAGAGAGAACACCAAAGCAAGGCATACAGTATAGTAGACAAAAATTGAAAAAAAAAAAATTGAAAATAAGTCTCTTTTTTATTTTTTTTTTTTTTTAAGACCCTCCTAACCATAGGTGTCTATTTAGGCTCATTAAGTATATAGCTTTGAAAAGCATCATGTGTTTAATTATTACATTTTCACTGTTTCCTAATATCAGTTTCTGTTCTTAATTTTATTGTTTTACTAAGTAGATATACAAATCATTATTTTTAAACTGTAGATTAAAAGCACAATGTTACCCCTTCACTGACTGCTATTAAACAGTTCTCGGATCCATGTCCATAAGATGAGTGCTTTAATATCTCCACGTGTTGTTTCTTCATGTGAAAAATTTAGATCACAGTGATTAACATGCAAGAGCATAATTGTTCATAATCCCCAAATTAATTTTCAAAATGAGAAAAAACCCCAATGCCAAGAAGTAATCCTTTGCTCTCTGACTCTGCTGTAAGGGCAGCTGTAAGAGCTGGCTGCCCCGGTCCTCTTGGCTTTGTTGGAACGTGCATCCCAGGGGAGAGAGCACGTAGGCTCAGTTAAACCTTGCAGACGTGGACTGGTGTGCACAAAGGGAAAGGGAGTTAATGACTGTTGGGATAACGGAGGAGTTCCCAGCAGAGTGGTCATTTTCCAGACTTGAAGTCCTAGCAGAACCGTACGACTGACACTGGCCTTTTGTTTTCTGTCTGTACCTGCGTGGGTATATATATATATATAACCTGCCTATTCTGATACGCAAGGGACGAGTGGCTGTGGAGGCTTGCTAGGAATGCAGAATGGCCATGTGCACTGAAGACTGCATTTCTCAGCCTGGCTGTAAATGGTGCCTTGCTGCTTGCGTTGGAAAGTTTAAAGTGGGATGGGGGTGAAGATAGGCCCATTGCTTGGGCGGGGAGGGGAAGGGGGAGTGTGGCTCATGTGAACCTTAGCTTTTTTGTTTCTTGTTTTCATGATACTTTCTGAATGTTCTGTTTTTCAACAAGAATATAACAAGACTACAGAGTTTTCTTAATAAATGTAAAGACGTTATCTGCCTTTTAAGATTCCTTTCTGATTCTAGTATAGCCCTAATCTGTGCAGCTTGTCTCGTAATTGAATTGCATTTAAAAATCCTACTAAGTACCAGCTGACATCAATTCAGTGAGGCAGTTTGGCCTTTGAGAGAACGACTGGCTTTGATTCTTAGGCACCAGCTGTCTAAACGTTTAAGTGCATGATTTTTAAGGGGGGTGTGGGGTGGGGGCAAAAAGGGTTCTAATATGTAATGGTGGAGAAAACTGTTAAAAAAATAAAACCTAGCCATACTTTCTCCTGGCAGATCTCACTTTATCGCAGAGGGTAGCAATGCTATTTTCCACTGGCCCGTGGAGGGAGGAAAGCAGTTCAGATCAGCAATTGGGGCAGTCGGACTAGATGATCATTGTAGGTCCCTTCCGAATGAAATAGTCTGTCACCCTGCGCACCAGTGGTGGGAGCCAGGAACTGAGGGTCTTGTCCAGGGCTTTCACACACTTGTCGCTGTCAGAGCTGAGTTTTGATCCCTTGTTGTTTCTTGGGGTTTACAAGGGGTATCGAGGTTTATCGTTAGACTGTTCCAGAGAAATTAATACAGTTCAGAATCACCACTGTAACTGTTTAAAGTCATATGAGTTGCCTTGAATTTATTCAGTTCTAAGCGTGCATTAGAACACCTCTTGGTTGGCAGACGTGTGCTGCAGTGATGGAGAAGGACCCTGGCACCAGACCTCAGTCCTGAGCCGGCAGCTGGCTCCCCGGGCACTGACTGCTTTGGCTGCAGTTTGGGCCTGTAGTGTTTTGTGTAACAGCTCAGTCCAGTGTTAGCTTGTGTGATGATGAAGGCAACCAAGTCCTGAAAAACACTGGGGCTGAAAAGATCAGACATGAATGCACTCCAGCATTCAGAGCTTCCCCCTTCTTAGGATTTGTTCCACATTCCGCATCCCATCCCAGACTGAAGCTCAATGTGTTAAGACTTCAAAGAATAAGCAGGATCGGTATTTTAACGCTTTTTAGCACGGGAATAAGCGCTAAAGGTGATCATAAACTCTTCAGAAAATAAAAAATATAACTATAATGATCATCTCTGGGATAAAGTGGTTACTCAAGCGCTGCAGCGTAAGAGTTAGGGGGTTAATACGCTGCACGCAGCAATTCTGACGTGCAGGGTACCCCTTACGGTGTCCTCTATGGCTGGAGTGGGAAAAGCAGCCAAGGGAAGTGAAGGAGAACTCTAGGAGTTGGCAGAAGAGTCTTATGCCACTGAGGGAACAGGAAGGCTGCGTGGGAGAGGAGATCCTGAGTGGGAGGGAGTTGGAAAGGCCGAGGGGGGCAGGATTAGAGCTGTGCGGTGGGAAGCAAATCCCAAAGGTGGCATGGAGGGGGCGGCTGGAGGAGTGGATAAAATGTCCTGTAGACGCCTGTGAGACCAGAGTGAGAATGACTCAGCTTGGCTGGGAGAGCTGTCGGCCCGGGTGATGAGCTCACTACAGCACGAACTGGGAGCGCGGGTTGCGTACCAAGTACAGCCAGCCCCTGCGTTGGACAGGCTGCAGGGGCACAGCAGAGCCTCCATCAAAGACCTTGTTGAAAAGGAGGAGGCGACCTCTGCGAACTAAGAGATCGTTCCTGAATACAGCGAAGGGTGATTTATGGAGGCCCCAGCTCAGGGTCAGGAGCCCTTGTTTACAGTGTATTGGTCTGAACTTGACCCAGAAAGCTTTCACAAAAGGAGTTACTTCCTAGTGTAAGTGGACCTGCCAACTACAGAGGAACTGGGAGTGATGGTATTTATGTGTACTACCTAACTTTATAAACACCCTGGGATACCTTTGTTTTTCAGTCATAAGCTGTGTAGTAGCCTTTCAAAGGGAAGTTTGTTAAACCTTTCTGACTGAACTTGCATTTATGTTTTTTCCTGTTCCTGTGCAACAAAACCCAGTGCCTTGGAGTTCACGTGTATGAATGTCCAGACTGAGGCTCAGTGAAGATCAGGGGAGCTTAAGGGCAGATCTACTTTCCTGTAGGCAGAGGAAACCAGAATGACTGAAGTAGCCTGAAAAGTGATCAGGGTGGGAGTGTAGGAGAACAAATTAAAGGTACTGAGGCATAAGCAAGACAGCCTGGCTTGCAGGTAGATGGGGAGAGGGTTTATGGTGATGTTTAAAAGCATGCAGGGGAACAGCATGGGACTATTGAAGGAAAGGCCTGGAGTGGCAGGAGGAATTTGGCTGCTGTGTACCAGGGAGAAGGGTGGGTACTGAGGCATGCTGGGGCTGTTCATTCCTGAGGACAAGGGTGTTGTCCCCAGGGTGTGGCAACATCTGCAGGAGAGTGAAATGATGGTGTTTCAGTGCTCCTACCACAATAAATATTACTGTGGAGACAGAATAAAAGCACACCTGAAAAAAACCCAACCAAACAATTGTAGTTATGATATCCTAGAAGTCTTGCTGTTACTTGAAAGATGGGGAATGGGAAGCAAAAATACTTTATTTACTGCTCTGTTTCCTCTAACAAACCTGTACTTCTTGGTCATCATAACAGTTCCTTTGTATCTCCTTACTGCGCTACGTGGACTGTCAGAGTGTAAAAGCACTTGAGGATCTTTGAGAGTGAAGGTTTACGTGTATCGCATTGCACAAGGCAAAGCCAGAAAGAAAAAGATCTGCTGGATGCTCTGACTTAAAATTTTGAGTTGCTATTCTTATTTTTGGAAGACCTCTCTGTTCTGTTGTTTTCCTCATTTTGGCAGTGGTTACAAGTAGCCAGCCTAGCTATTAGCTTTCAGGATTTACTTGAAAAGGGGGAATTCATTAAGACTGGAATGAGATTTAAAATATCACAAAAGCAGTACAGCTTTTTTTTCCATTTCAGAGGAGACGTTTCAGGTGTTAAAATACATATATACACACTTGTAAATGCTTATTGCCAACTTGTTAATTCAAAGAGTATTTACATTTGTGTATAATGATATTTGTAGCCAATAGGTCTGTGGAGAAATCTTGATTTGAATAGATCAGAATATCACAGGATTCTAACAATTAATGCTTTTCTTAGGGGACTTCTCTAATGTTTTCAGTTAATGGAGAAAATAGTATTCAACATATTTTTTTATTCAAAGCTGAAGACAGAAAATGTACTGCCCTGGAGAATATATTAAATATACACTGTTACAAAAGTTAGTACTTTGACTGCACTATCGTATTTGAACACCCTAGTGCTAAACCGTGGAGAGTATCTCAGCTGTTGCTGAGGATGTAGGTTTGCTCCTGAAGGCAGTGCCACCTTGAGCACCATCAGCCCCTTCTCCTCCCCACCTCATTTCAGCTCTCGACTCCCACGTGTGCCACCCTCTCCATTGTCAAAAAGCACATGTTTATATAGCTTCACAATGAACTTGAATCAAACAACGGGCTGTTTTTATTCCCCGTGGGGCTATTTTTTGGCTGGATCAGTTCCCCGCTGTGTTTCCCTCTCCGGCTCTGTGTCAAATGTTGTGCTAGCACAATAGAAGGGGTGGCATGAGGGGAGAAATGAGTGGCTGGAAGGGGGCTCTCCTTTGCTTAAAGGAGCTGTGCCAGAACTCCGAGCACATCTCGGGCTTAACTTGGTCTCTGTCTCCCCCAAGCATCCTCATCGAAGCTGGACTCTTACGTTCATCTC